TATACAAAGTCCTTACGGAACTCTTCAAAGTAAATAGTAAAACGAGTGCTGGATTCTGCCAATATTGTGTAAGAGGATGATGTTTTATACAAAGATGCAATCTTATATTTGAAATATTAAAGAAAAACTGTGGTTTCGTGGAAAAGGGAAAAGTTAGGGAAAGCCTTTTTTATAAATATCTTTTTATCCAACAATTTAGAGGCGACTTTTTAAGAAACCAATTAACTGGTAAAGTGGAGTTTAACGATACGCCCACACACACAGATGTAGTGCTATTCGGAGCTTTAAATCGCAAAAACTTGAGGGATACTGCCACTGCACACTTGTCCCTTTTGGCTTCTAAAAAGATTGGTGTGCTCAACAGAGCGAAGCGGTGTTTCACATCGGGGCACCGGCTTTTGCTATACAAAGCTCAGGTTCGGCCCCATATGGAATACTGCTCGCACCTCTGGGCTGGAGCACCCAAGTATCAGCTTGATCCACTTGACTCCATCCAACGTCGGGCTGTTCGAATTGTCGACGACCCTATGCTTACAGACGGTTTAGAGCCCCTTAGTTTGCGGAGAGATGTTGGCTCTCTATGTGTGTTCTACCGTCTGTATAACGGGGAGTGCTCAGACGAACTCTTTGAGTTGGTGCCTCCGTCACTCTTTTACCACTGCACGACCCGCCGAAGGAGAAGACTCCATCCCCACTTCCTCGATGCTTGGCACGTCACGACCACTCGAGCATCTCGTTCGTTCCTTCCCCGAACCAGTAAGATGTGGAATGGCCTTCCTCCTGAAGTGTTCCCCTTGCGCTATAACATGGAGTTCTTCAAAAGACGTGTAAACAAGGTTCTCCGGAGTCGGCAACGCATGGGTGATGCTTCTGGTATTGCTCGTGTCCATGGGCGACAATGACCACCTCCCATCAAGTGGCTTGTCTGCTCGTTTGCCTACTAGTTAACATAAAAAAAAAAAAAAAAAACCTCTACCCTTCAAAACCGGAACGCAGTAGAGCTCACATAGACTGATGATATCGATGGTTTTATTCGTAATAGAGCTCCTTGTGTTCCGGTTTTGAAGGGTAAGGGTGCTGGTGAAATTACAGGCGCTTGGACTTGTTAACTAATGTCTCAGGGTGACGGGCGCAGTGGCAGTGCCCCTCAGATCTTTGTTATTTAAAGCTCTGAGTGGCACTGCTACACTGGCGAGCTTATCATCAAGCGCACCACTTGTTCGACTCGTCACGCGTTATTATAAAAAAAAATAAGTATATTTTTAAATTTCAAATATTTTTTGTTTTTAAACATATTATATCAATAGTGATTAGTTTACTTGACAGATGTAATCCTCAAGAAAGTGTGCGCTGTAGTATGGTTCATAAAAAACTGTAATAATTATTACTAAAAAAACCTAACCTAGGATTTATCTAAACCCCCAGTAATGAAGTCTCTAATAATGAACACCCAGTAACTAACACTTACCAATAACAAACGTGTTACTATGATCGAAAATTTTGACCATGAATCTTATTAGAAGTGAATGTAAAAAAAAATGTCGAACAGTAGTGCTTGACGGCAGAAATAGGTATGGTGACAGTACTAATCCAGATCAGTGATAACTTATCTAGTGCTTTCACAGTTTTGTTTTATTTTAAGTATATTTTACGAAAGCGCTTTATTAATGAAGATGAATCTTAATAACATAATAATTTTGTGGTGAAATATTAACAAGAATAATTGATTTGACTTTTCGCTTTCGGTGGAAAATTGTAAATACCCTTATTTTAATTTTATTTTATTTGCTTTTGAAGTTAATGATTTTTCAAGTACTCTTCTAAAATATGATAGCTCTAAACAAATAGGCGCGGTGGAAGCTTAGTAGGAAATTGGTTGAATGAGTGAATGATTAAAATAGAACCAACAAGTCGGGCGCCTGGCGGTAAGCGTCACGCCTGGTGATAAGTGTTACGCCTGTCCATAACAGTTGCAGTGAACTCAGAGGGAACTGCCACTGCGATCGTCACCCTGAGACATAAGTTGAAAAGTCTCATGTGCCTATAATTTCACCAGCACCTTACCCTTCAAAACTGGAACGCAGTAATGCTCGCATTACTGCTTGGCGGCAGAAATAAGCAGCGTGGCAGTACTACCCTGAACGAACTTTTTCATAAGGAGCCCTAATGCTACGAAAGGGGTGCCATGTACACACACATAGACAACCACAAATAACACCCAAACTCACGAGAGAATTAAATGTAAGTCATGGAAATATTTCTCCCGGCCCGGAAATTGAACCCGGGACGGCTGCGTTGCAGACCAGCGTATACACCGTGCGACCACACAGGCAGATTAAATGTGTGAATGTTTAATAGTACCTAATACGTAACAGTGAAGGAAAACACAGTGGTAAAATCTGTATATCGAAGTAGACTCAGCGAATGGGAAACAAAGAATTGTTAGCGCATTGTGACATTAATTTATTTTCCTTTGTTAGAAAACCTACTTTGGTTCATTAAGAATTAGTTTTATCGAAATAAGAGACCAGTGTGTGTTGCCAGTGATCACATATGGAACAGAAACGTGGTCCCTCACTAAGGCCTCATAAGAAGGCTCAAGGTCACTCAGCGGGCAATGAAAAGAGCGATGCTCGGTATTATGCTAGTTAGTATGCTACGTGATAGAATCAGAAATGAGGAAATCCGTAGGAGAACTAAGGTAACCGACATAGCTCGAAGAATTGCTCAGCTGAAGTGGCAGTGGGCAGGGCACTTAGCTAGGAGAACCGATGGTCGTTGGGGCGGAAAGGTTCTTCAATGGCGACCGCGCACTGGACGACCCTCAGTGGATAGGCTCCCCACCAGGTGGATCGACAATCTGGTAAAGGTCGCGGGAAGCCGATGGATGCGGGCAACGCAGGACCGATTGACGTGGAGATCGTTGGGCGAGGCCTATGCCTAGCAGTGGGCGTCGTATGGCTGAATGATGATGATGATGAAATAAGAAATAAATAATCTCAGTACAGAGTACCGACCTCAAAAGTTCGTGGAATTACATCTATTTGCCAAGTTTTATTTAAATCGGTTACCGGAAAGTGCGTGAAACCGGATTCATCCCCTAGTTTGCCACCCTTGCAGGTGGAATACTTTCTTCTAATTCAAATGTGACCAATACTGAGGCACCCTCTTTCCAACAAAAAAGAATCATCAAAATCGGTTCACAATGGCTTGAGTTATCGTGTAACTTATATACAATAAAAAAACAGTAGAATTAATAAATTAACCTCCTCATTTTTTTTAAGTCGGTTAAAAAAGAGTATCAACAGAATGATGAGGGGCGACCGCCTTTGCAAATCACATATACTAAGTGACGGGACGAACAAGTCGCGCGTGGTGACCACCCGCGACACGCCTGTCCATAACAGTCCCAGTACCGTTCAGATGTAAATCAGAGCAAAATCGCATAGATTTAAGGGACTGTCACTGCGCACGTCACTTTGAGACATAAGTTGGCAAGTCCTATGTGTCTGTAATTTCACCAGCACCCTTGCCGTTCAAAACCGAAACGTAATAATGTCCACATTACTCCTCGGCGACAGAAATAGGTAAGTTCAAATTATACCTATCTTTAATTTCTTAGGTTTTCGCGTCACATTGGTAATGAAACTATTTTTTCGGATCTGAATTACGTATAAATGTACAGCCAACCGTGACTATACTAACTCTAAGGGGCCGGAAACATTCGTTTAAAAAAAAAACAATTTTACGCAATTTAGACCCGAAAGATTACTTTCATTTTCAATATCAATATCTATTTTGGATTCAAAGTTCGTGACAGTATAATGGCATTCACATGTCATGACGTATGTCCACAAAATGTTTATTTCTTCTTTCTTTAGAGTCTTATAAAATCTAAACATTTTTGTTACGTGTTTGTATAACCGATTTCTAAATTCAAATCCACACTTAAAAGGTAGCATTAAAAAAATTATGAAAGTCCCGTGTAACACGAACCTCTAGCCGTTTCGTAAACGATATAATCACGCTATAAAATAGCGTTTAGCTTTGAAAACGTCTCGCCCATAAAAATGTTAAGGGCCGCCTGACATTTATTTGACAGCCCTCTCTAGAAGCTATATATTTCAAAAGAATTGCTTCTATTTTTCATATTCAAATTATTTTAATTTTATTTGTAGTGCGCATATGCGCCATCTATATGATGGCATCCCACGCTTATGCCACAAGCTCTATATTGAAGATTCGATTAATGAGAAAATTATATTGTTTTTAAAGTAAACAACACTGTGTTTAATGATTTTAGTTATAATTGAAGTGAAAGAGTTCCTCCAGGGAAGTATTGCCACCTATTTCTGCTAAGCAATAATGTGAGCATTACTGCGTTCCAGTTTTGAAGGGTAAGGTGCTGGTGAAATTACAGGCACATGGGCCACGTCAAGTTAGGTCTCAGGGTAACGGGGGCACTGGCAGTGTCCCTCAGACCTTTGCTATTTGTCCCGTCTCTTGATATCATAAAAAGGGCAATCAAGGGTCAGTTACTTTTGAATAACATGGTATCTTAAATTGGAAAGGAAATTTTTTTTTTCGGGTCTAATACGTGTATACCAATTTTTTTTCCAAACAAACCCACTGTGTAACGTAAAACTTAAGACCTCTATGGTATCTTAAATTAAAACAACATCATAAATTAACGCATACGGGATATGCGTGCTTATAACTTCGCAGGCGTGACTTAGTAACATATTATGGTAAAATTAGAATATAGAGAAAATTCACAACTTGCAAATATGATCCTATTGTTAAATGTTAGAGTCTAAAATCAAAACATTAGTGTTGGGAAAAGATAAATATAATTAAGATTTATTTATTTCATTATAACTTAATCTAAATACAAGCAATCCAAATAGGTAAAGAGACGTTGGAAGACGTGGGAAGGCCAGCATAAGTTTCATCAGTTATTACAACAAAATCATGCAAAATAAATTACTAAGTGTACTCACCATCCTGCTTAACAGTATTTCCAAGTGGGCCACAGCTGGCGAGCCACACGAAGAGTGTCCACCGCAGCATCAGCCCAAACCCTCGCTGCAGCTCCGGCTGGTTATGGAAGTGCCGGACAGTCGGACGGCTGCCTCGACGTGGCGGCATCGCACTAGCATTGGTTTGAAATCAATAGCATTGGTTACGCAACTGCCTGTCTTAGCATTTCATTTTGTCATCACTGTTGGGAAAATCGGTGTCGGTAACGTTATGTCAGAAAATGGAATTAAGTGATACGGTCAACATTGTTCAAAGAATTGATAGTTAATCTATATTCAATAAGAATAGATTTAAAAAAGATCTTAAATTTACAACCTAAGGACCACTAGGGTTCGTCAATGCTAACACAAATTTAGAAGAGATTTCGTAAAAAATTCCGAATAAAAAAAAAAAAATCCGTCCTGTATATTGTCCAGTTCAAAACTTCTAATTATACTGGCACCATTACCGCTCTGGATAGCATTGAACACCAACTGAACCAACCATGATCCAGAGCGGTGATCGCAGCCCCTATCTCTGAGTCAGCGATTCAACTTTTTAAATAAGTCCCGAGTTTCCGAATCCCCGGAGCCCCCGCCCGTTTCGACCACGATCGCTGCGCACGAAGTCGTATATCGGCTCCAAGGCAGTATGTTTCTATTTTCCTTACTATTTATCTATCACTGTATTTTCAGCCGACCAACTACGAAGTTTATCTTAAGTGGGACGTAGCAAAAGTGCCTACACGCGTTGCGTCAAAAATTTTAAAAAGGAACTAGTTTGACTTATTTTGTGGTATCTTATAAGATGGAAAATAATGAATGCAATTATAATTCGCACTGACTTTGCTGAAAGTTACAATGTAACCTTCTTTTCTACAAACATTTATTTGTTTTAATTCAAAAGGCAATGTTTCTAGAACATATGGCCTGTTTTAAAAAGATAGTTCACGTTTGCGTTAACCCGACGAATCATATATCGGCTTAGTGTTGTCATATGGTTATTTTAGTCAAAGTGGAAGGTTCGGTGTATTGTTTTCATATTCTTTTTATATATTACACGCACTTATGCACTTCGCAGAACATCTAGATCAGAACCAATTTAGAAAAGTACATTTCTCAAATTGGGCCTACCGGGAATTGAACTCGGGACGTCTGCATCCAGCGCCAACAAGGTTAGACCTAAATCGTCAATCCAAATACTGTCCAAAATAAAAAAAAATATTTATTATTTCAGTTTTGACCAGTATTCTTGAAAAGCAGCGATATTCCATAATAAAAAAATATCTATAAATAGAAAAAATTACAGGCAATTTCCATGACGACTAAAAGCTGCGTTATCGAGCGATCTGTTTAACCATTTTGATTTATTAGGGTCACCTTACTTCGGCCGATAGGGCACGAGCTCGAACACCTCCGATTATATAGATTTTAACCTCATTTCGAGGGCGCTTTTAACAATGATATCGGCGCGTTTTTTGTTTTAATTATTCATAAAATAACTCAGTAGGTAGTCGATAAGTGCTATAATCCCAGAAACAATGTTTAAGAGAAGACGAACAAGTCGTGCGTCTGGTGGTAAGCGACTCACTTGCCCATAGCAACTATAAGTCGCAAAAATCATGCGGGGCACTGCCAGTGCGCCCGTCACCCTGAGACATAACTTGACAAGTCCCATGTGCCTGTTTATAACAGTAGCTATTTAGTTACTATTGGGTTGATTATAAATAGCAGTAGCGGACTTTCTGCCACCAAGCAGTAAAGTGAGTGTTATTTCCTTCCGATTTTGAAGGGTAAGGGTGCTGGTGAAATTACAAGCACTTAGGACTTGTCAACTTGTGTCTCAGGGTGACGGGAGCAGTGGCACTGTCCCTCAGATCTTTGTGAAAGCTCTGAGTGGTACTGCAACTGCTTTGGACAGGCGCGTCTATCACCACCAGGCGCGCACGACTTGTTCGTCTCGTCCCTTATTATTATTTAAAAAAATGCAATAAAAATATAAGAAAAATTTGTAGTTTTCAACATTGAATTCATTTAACTTGAGGATGCTGTCATGTTTTTTAGACTACTTTACCATACTTAGTACCTATATAATATTTACACAATCAAATTCACAGTTCTAAACCTAACCAATTAGTAGATAAAACTATAGAAATAGACAAGCTGTTCTTAAATCGTTTTTTGCCTTTGAAGCTTATCATTCAGTGAACTTTATGTCTTCTAGAGGGCATTTTTTATGTCTTCCCCAACTTGAAAAACATGCTCTATACCTTGAAATTAAACTATTGGATTTACGAGTAAATAGTGTTCATGTGTATGTTTTTTCAACCAAATCAACGTTTCGGGGCCTTTACAGATCCTATGATCACAGTTGACTGAGATGGTAAAGTCATTAAGCAGTTTATATATATCTGATGTTAACGCAAACCACCCTATTTTTTATAGTTACAAAAGTTATTTATTAAATACAGAACATTCCAATTTACGTTACATTATTATGTTATTACAAAATATTTTATTTTATTTCAAATAAAATTTATTATGGTTTAATAATGGAAACTAGACATATGAAAATTAAAATTAAAACATTAATTAGTACTACAGTCTTATGTCTGTTTAGAATGTTTCATCTGAGGAAATACTGGATCCTAAACTAGTGGTACGGAGTTAATCATCTTTCCTATTGAAATTAGGATGTTTTCAAAGGCCTCGGAAAAACCAAACAACTCGATAATTTTATACAGTAAACAAACTTTATTATATAATTACGATGTACTCGTCTGTCAATACGATAATATGAGGGTACTGGTGTAAGCGCTCTATTACTTTTAACGAGACTTGTAAGTAGATTTCTGGGAATATAACAAATTACAGCTTTCGCGTTTTACTACGGGGAACAGGATGGCATTATACTTAATTGTTATGAGGCAAACAGTGTATCGGGTTTGCACCTGCAAGTGTGGAATAAGATTTAATATAGTTGAAGTAAGTTCAAAGAATTGTTCAACTTACGTCGACTCGTTAGTCATGTCTAGCTTTTATTCCCTCTACGTCGAGTTTATAATATCTGTTACGCTTTTATTCCCTCTACGTCGAGTTTATACAATCTGTCACGCTTTTATTCCATCTACGTCGAGTATATACTGTCTCTTATTCCCTGTACGTGGAATGGTGTAATTGTTGGGAAGAGAGTTTAAATTCATAATAGTTTTTGTTTGTGCAGTCTAGTGATAATATGAGTAACAAATCATTCATTCATTTGAATAAGAAATTGGTAACGGCGATTCAATTTATTTCCATTTACTAGAAATTATTACTAATATTTATTAATAATAAATTATTGCTAGAAATGTTGCCATTACAGATTACAAGAAAATAGTTATTTACACATTATAGGTGTTTACGAACAAGTTTTGTTATCTACATTATGGTTCCGAACATAATTTAATCGCATAATAAAACTAACCTAATTATAACTGCAATATCGAGTTCGTAGGTTTTCGCGATTGTTACACATAGGAATTGAAACTATTTTTCCGGATTTAAATCGCGTATATTTGTTTTTTCAAACAAACCGACGTTTCGGGCCCTTTACAGGTCCCATGGTCACGGTTGAATGAGGTGGTACAGTCTTCTACCAGTTATGTCTAACATTGATGCAAACCTCCCTATTTTTTCACTATAGTTACAATAGTTATTAATTAAATACCTTATTTTTAGTTTAAAGGGCCCGAAACGTCGGTTCGATACATAGTTTCATTTCCTATATAACTGCAATGTCAAACAAATATTGTTTCAAACATTATTCAGTCTTTTTAATATTTTTTTTGACTGAACTGTATCAAAGTTGACAGGAATAGATAAGCAGAACCGTAGACTCGTCATAAAGTGAAGTAAGAGAAAGAATTTACTTCATGTATGTAAGTGATTTTATTTCTTTTCATCGTTCACACAAAAGTCGCCTGAAAATTGCTGCTCACCACTCACCACCACCACTTGTACTTCGTTTCAGTTCTATTGTATTTTTATGTGACAAGAATAAAAAAAACATGAATTGAGGAAGTAACAAGTCATGGCGTAAGGTACACCTCGACTGCATCACGCAACGACCTGCGTAAGTGAGCTGAAAGATGACTACGTCTAGCTGAAAACTGGTGCGCGTGTTGGCAGACTCATATACAACTTACTATTTGTGAGTAATTTTCGGACAATCTGTTTTGTTTTAGTTCTGTTGAATTTTTTATGTGACATCAATAAAGAATTCTAATTCAATAAAGTGAGTTATATATCGGCTAGATGGCAAGACGCGTATAGCTGAAGTAGACAAGACGCGTAGTCTGTTATTGTGAATATTTCTGTTAATGGTTTCTTCATTATGTTCTTTGACACAATTGAAGCAAGTTATAACAAATCTAATAATTATTATTATGACCCAGGAATAAGACTCGTGCTGAAGACCCACAATGTTGTGGTATCAACTCTGACATTATGTTTTCTGCTCTACAAAATGAATGTCCTTATAAAGGTCAAGCTTAAAAAGCCTCCGAAGTCAAAGCGAACGAACATCTGGAATACAGAATAATAGTACACGTGAGTAGATTCAAAGACATGATAAATGATCCAGGTCATTATACCAGTACAGATGCAAAGCATGCAATTAGCAAAAAGCTAAACTAGGCTTTGTTTCGGCTGGCCTAGAAAATGCATTGTCTGAAAGACAGCACCCGAAATATGCACCGTTGTACCGTGAAGAACATTTTCATGTATATGTAACATGTTTATGTGTGTGTCCATGGCACCCGCGACACAGGTTTACCCTAGTGCGGGGCTATGTTGAGCGTGTGCGTTATTTATTTATATTTATATTTACATATAATAAAAATAATTGATTAAGAACAGAATGTTAAATGTATCTATAATCAATATTGTGTTGTTCACGAGAGTGTGATGGTGTTTGGTGGTGTATACGTGTGCAACTATACATGCAATTGAGTTAGGGAGTCACCACGGCTGATCGTCGTTATATCGTGATAGTCGACGGCTGATCCTGGTTTAGATATAACTGACGCGAAGGCGTGCGAACGGCCGCGTCAATGGCGAGCCGTCTTCATTAAGCCGACAGTGATAATTCAGGTATTAAGCATGTTTTTGATATACAAAAATAACACTGACCTATTAGATCGAAAATTGATTATCTTATTAA